GGGATCCTTTTTCTTTCTTTTTTTTCTTTTTTCCAAGAGTACTTTTTCTTTCTTTCTTTTTTTTTTTTTTTTTGGTGAAAATAGCTCATTCCCTTAGACAATAGGCATGGCTTTTATATGTGTTTTCATGTTTCTTTAGGCCAGAAATGTGGACATTTTTAAGGAAGGCAAAACAGTGACCTTTTGACATATTTTATGTGTCAGAGTCTAGGCAGGAAACAACTCACAATCAACTTGGTTTAACTCAAAAGAATCTAAGAAAGGACTGTTTACAGAGGTGTTAGCAGGGTTAAGGGAACTAGCAACAGTGGAAATCCCTTATCACCCTAGGCCTAAACAGTCACTGGAAAGAAAGGTGGCCTCTCACAATAGTTATGGAAGGATACAACCATAGTCAAATTTTGGCTTAGCTTAGGGCCAGAGAGGTATGTAATACCTACTTTACTGTTTCAATTTCTTTTGTGATCTTTTGCCAGTACTTTTCACTAGTCAAACTCAACAGGAAGCTACAAGGCTAAAGGGCACTGGTATTTATCCTCCGATGCTAGTCTCTCTGGGCAAAGTTCGGTAGAGAAATAGAAACACTACATTTAGGAAGAAAAACAGAAAATACTGTTATAAATATTTTCTACAACTACATGAAGTTAAACAAATAACTGTCAGGACAATGAAAAGTCTCCATAAACTTAACTTTCTAATATTATCTCCTTGTAATTTCCTGAGTGTTCTATTCACCTAGAGCAAGAATGGATAAACATTTCTTGTAAAGGTTCTCATAACAAGTACTTTTAGACTTTGGGTTTAAGACGTAAAGTTGAAGATGTTATATTTATATGAACATTTAAAATAAAATCATTTTAGCACATCTACTCATTCAAGTTGAGCAGACTGGATTTGGAGTGCGGGACATAGCGTGCCATCATCTGGTCCAGGAAGTTTTCTCCCAGAATTTTGCTTGCCTATTTTTCAGTGTCAGTTTAAAATAAATCTGCCCTTCCTGGTCTTTCATACCGACACTTTGAGGTGTGAGCGACAGAAAATCAACTTTCACTTGCTTAAATGAAGCTGAAGATAAATTGAGAGACTAGAATAGAATCCAGAATCCAGGATTCTACAGAAACCCCAGCTACCCTGGGGAGTATCTTGGTTTGCTACACTGTACACACCCTATCTCCCTTTCTCTTATCGTTGTCTTCAATTTGGCTTCATTGTCTACTAATGAGGGCAGTCCTTTCCCATAGGAAACAGAACACTTAACTGTTCCTCTTTATGTATTCTGCTTGACTTGTCGAGGTCACACATCCATCCTTTGATGAACGTGGAGGGACGGAGAACGGTAAGATTGGTGACGGTGTCGAGATTCTACCATTATGTAACTTTAGCTTAGAAATACATTTCTGAGAAGGATAAAGGCTTCCCCGAAATAGGAAAAGTTGCCTAGTTCAGGAAAATAGAAACGTTGTAATTATAGTTCAGTGTGTGCCACTTTACAACAGTGATAAGTCTGACACATCTTTATCACCCCCAGTACTTAAGATCAAACTTGGTAGACATTCACGTGTTTTTGATGAATGAAAGTCTCAGTTCCCCCAGCTGGTGGTTGTGAACACGCCCTTCTTTAAATTGGCCCAGGATTTTTATCAACAGCTGTGAGTGCGCGTGTGGCATTGTTTATTTTTTAACGCTCACATATCATCCCCCCTTCTACTCCTGAGGGCAAAAGGAGTGCCCGAGAGACAGGCGCTCAGTAACCATCCCGTGGAAATCTTAAACCCTGCACGAGACCACAAAATACCTACACGGCGGACCGGAACAATTATCCTCTGGTGACCCCTGTGGCCTTCCGGTCTAGGGCTGTGGGACACAAAGCCCCTATCTCACTCCCCTAGGGCGGGAGGGAGGCCGGGCCCTAGGGGAGGTTGTGCAGCCTGGGCCAAGCCCCTGGTGCTTCCCGGAGTACAAAGGAGACAACAGCAGGCGGAGCAGAGCTGTGCTCGCGGCTACTAGCGACTGCGGTTACAGACCTGCCGCTCCCCTCCCTACCCCACCCCATCCCACCAGGGCCCTGCCGTTCGCCCGCCTGTCCGCCTTTCTGTCTCCTCTCTCCCACCGTACTGGACCGCCCGGGTCCATTTCCGGGCTCCAGATATTTGGTATCGATCCGGGCCGGGGCGCGGAGCAAGCAGGTGGTTGCAGCGGGGCCTCTGGGCCGCCGACCCAGTGCCCGGGGCTGTCCGCCTCCGCCTCCGCCGCCCGGCCTTTCGGCTCTGCCCGTCAGACTTTCGGGCGTCGCGGCCTCGGCGCTCCGGGCCGGCTCCGAGCGGGCGGTGGCTGGGACCCCGGCCCAACATGGCCGAAGTGAGCATCGACCAGTCCAAGCTGCCCGGCGTGAAGGAAGGTAGGGGCCGCTCTCCCCGCGGGGGCGCCGGGCTCTCGGGCCGCGAGGCCCCGGCGCGGAGCCCGCCCC